CGCGGCGGCAGCCGTTAGGTGGCGGGCGCTGCGCGGTTAATTTTTTACCTCGCTGTCCCCCCCTCCCCCCACCACCACCACCACCTTTAGGGCGTTTTTTGGCCTAAAGCGTAGCGTTTTGGGGGCTGACAGTCTTGTCCCCTTGGAGTACTCCCCAGATAGTGCTGCATACGATTTTTTTTTTTTTTTGCGTATTATGAAAATATATGAACATTTAAAATTATATTTCCTCATTCTCAGTGATGCTCTTCACTTAGTTTAACAACTCTTGGTCGGAAACTTACCAAAATGTGTTTTGTTTTTTTGTTTTTTTGTTTTTTTTAAAAGGGGTTTAACGCAAATTTGCCAAGTTTTAATAAAATTGGCAATAAAATTATGGAAAATGTTATTCACTTTCAGGATCAACATATTTTGCACAAAATTCAAGCAACAAATGTTTACTGAACTTGAGTCCCGCCGGAGCTGCCTCTGGACAGTTTATGGCAGCCGGAGCCAAAGTATTGGCTCCGGCCAAAGCCGGAGCGTCTGAGAGGGCAGGCGGCTGGGAAGGAGCGCAGCAGTGCTTGGCATCAGTCTCTGCGCACTTTTAAAAAGTCCTTTTCCCTTCCAGAGGGGGGAAGGAGACAAAATTCACTCTACTTGCTGGCCTTTTCGTTTGCATTTCTTCTGAATTAAAAAAAAAAAAGGAAAAGAAAAAGGCATTACCTTGAACTTATTGCACTAGAACGTTGCTTAAAACGCATTAGTACTTTGGCAAATAGCGTAGCTGGCCAGGTCCTTCTCTGGGGTAAGTAAATGTAATTGCGTAGTGGATGCAAGTCAGCTCTCTGTGATGTATGTCGATATAATCACAATATAATTGTGATCCTGACTTGGCATAATGACAAGTGGCTCTTTGGTGGGAAAATACTGCCCTGGTGAGACTGTCTCTTTAAAAAAAATCCCCAAGCATAAAATAGACATTCAAATTATTTGAACCATTCCGTCCCGAACTCTTCTGTGTTTCTATGCTGTTGTTATTTGTTGACGTAGTATTTTGCACAGTGGAGTCCCAGTTCCTAGCTGAAGCTGCTTTTTGCAGGGCAGAGATGCAGCTTAACTGGCGGAACTGGAGTGATATGTGGGACAAGATCCTATGGTGCGTTACAGCATAGGGGGTTGCGTTGCGCTTAGTCTACGTTATTGAAATGTCTTCAGACCTCTTGTCCTCTCCTTGGCAAACCCGAATGTGCCTGAGCAATACTGTCATGCAGTGATTACAAATTACATGAAAATAGTCATAGGTAAACTGTGAAGACTGTTTTTAGTCATTTTTTTAGTGCTTTTTATGTATATTGTCAGGAAACCTTTCATATGGCATCTTATTTATAATCTTTAATACTTTACTCTCAAATTACTTAACAGTTTGAAGTGGTACTACCATTCCTTCTTCACAGGCGAGAAAATGAGGCAATAGTACCTTAAGGCCTACATTTTCATGCTCGCTTAACTTGTAAAACTGTACCCCACCTCTTCCAGGCTTCTCCTTACACTATGGGATCTAATGAAAGGGTTAGTGCGTTTTGCTACCAGAATGACGACTATGCTAGAAGGTGACTATTATATCATTTTAGGTTACTCTCGTGCTTGGCTCTCTGAAATTAGCCACCTCAGCCATTTGGTCTACTTCCATCACTTATGTCTGTTTATGAGTTTTGGCAAAATGCCAAGACATCGCAAGAGGGTTTAGAGATTTAACTCCCATTGGTTACACTCACATAGTTAGTTACCAGTGAAAAGGCCTGAAGGAGAATACAGGCTATTTGATTCCATGACCTGATGGTGGATTTTTTTGGACCACACTGCTTTTACATTTAGAGTTTGATTCTATGCCACTGATTCAATGAAAGTATTATTGACTTCAGTGGGAGCTGAGTATCAGGATACTAGCAAAGTGACTGGTGCCAGAGCATAGTTCTAGCAAAAGAGCAACACAAGGTGACTAACACATTGTATGAAGAATTGCTTTTCTACAGCAGCTTTAATTCTTGCATCCTTGTCCTGAAGCTGATGTAGCTCAGTCAGGAGTGATTACACAGTGGGCTTATTTGGTGGGGGCTCAGGTGCCCTCCAGCTTGGTATGCCAGGGCCTTAGCAACTGGACTGTGGCCATGTGGAGCACCTGGGAAGTGATGGCTGAGCACTTGTTTGCTCAGCTGAGAAACCTCCCTGGTGGTGCACTTTGAAGATATGATCGATGAAAGGGTTTGCGATGCTCCAGGTTTTGAAAGACAGCTCGTGTTAGGGTGCACCTGCTCCAGCATCTTGCACATGTAGATGGAGTAAGTAGCTCTCCTTCCTGCTTGTGTCATGCTTCTTGTCATCTTTCTTCTGGGTCTTATTCACAGCTTCTTTGGGGCCTTTTTTGTGGGGTAGGAGGGAACATGGCTGTCTCAGGTTTTTGAGTG